TTTCCATCAGATACAAATATCTCAATTGAGATCTTACATGCGAAATTTTGCGGAAACCTCAACTGAGAATTCAATTGAGAATTTAATTGAGAATTCAATTGGGAATTCAATTGTGATCTCAATAGAAATTTTTCAGTAGGGCGGTTAGAATCTCGGCTCAATAGTATAGCACTTCAAATACATTGTTTGTAATATTCACTACTATTCTGTAACAATGCTATTGCATTTTAATAACTACAAATAATGCCAATAATTAATAGATATTTTGTAATATCTTACAATTTTTTCTGAATTGCTGATAACTGTCTCCAAATTCAGCTGACAGTTCAGTATGCAATCAAAAATCTTGCGTTTCAGCAACAACTCACTATTACTATATTATTACGCATGTACTCAACGCTTGACGCTTGACGCTTCTATGTAAAAGCACCTTAACTTAGGTGCTAACTTTAAGAATGCAAATTTGGGATATTGGCAAATTATTTTTAAGATTCTGGCTACTGAGGGAGTAGAATGACACTAAAGCGTCTTCTACAATGGCAGTAGGAGTAGTAGTAAAAAATAAGCAGTAAGCAAATTGATCAATTCTATTCTCACGTTTCAAAAATAATCGATTGTGATTGGTTTATTTACTTACTGCTTATTTCTTACTACTACTCCTACTGCCATTGTAGAAGACGCTTAATGGCTCTTGAATACAGAACGCGGTAACGCTTGCCATGCGGTGGAAGTTGCCTAGGGAATAACGCGGTAGCCAATCAATGTAGTTTTTCCGTAAGAGCTAAAAGGTTCTTACGGAATATTGTATATTGATTGGCTGTCGCACCAACTTCTGCCGCGTAACAAGCGTTACCGCATTCTGTATGCAGGAGCCATAACACACATTGTCATTCAAAAGCAGAGCGAAGTAAGCACACTTGAGGTCTTTTTCGAAATTAAACTTTCACAACCGCGTAAATTACTTTAAAAAACTGTACAAAATTACGCTAGAATGTGCTTTACATGCTAATCATAGACATAGTAAGTATAGACCAAGTGTTGAGTGTATGAAGTTGGCACCCCACTTTTTGAAATTTATAATTTTGAAAGTTGTCCCAGATTGTTCTGACTTTGTACTACATTGTTCCAAAGTTATATTGCTTCATTCGAAACGGTTTTCGAATAAAACAAAAAAAATGATTTTTTGAGCTAGCACCCCACTTTTTGAAAATCGAACATTCTGTTACCGCAATAGATTGCTCAAGTTGTTCCAAACATTGTTCCAAAAGGACAAATCCGTAAGTTGAATTATAAGTCCAAAAAATGAAAAAAATGTTTTTGACCTGGCACCCCATTTTTTGAAAATAAAGCATTCCGATACCGATATAGATTGTTCTAGTTGTTCCAAATATTTTTCCAAAACACAAATCAATAAGTTTAATTATAAGCCCGAAAAATTAAAAAAAAGTTTTTTGACAAACAGTCTATCGGACCAAGAGTAAACTTATACTATCTTTCTTGTTCCAACCGAGATCTTTTTGTTCTGAGTTGTTCTAGGCTTAAGAATTATAGTTCTAGAGTATGAGACTCATAAGATCATTCGTTCTCCGAAAATTCGTA